AATTCCTCTAGCTGCACAGCAGAAGTGCAAGGATTCACAGGGCATAGTAGCTTCAAGTTCCCTAGAGTAGTCCACCCCTTTTCTCATGAATTGGCACTGACAGTCTCAATAATTCTTTCTAAGGCATTAGTGTAGAAAGAATAAAACCATTTCATTTACTTACGGTTGGGAACTGATCAATAGCAAACTAAGAGGGAAAAGAAAACATTTTGAACACTGAGTTGAAAAAGAGGTATGGAGAGAAAAATTGGTTAGTGCTGAATAGATTGACAGTCACCCCAGGCCAGGAAAGTCCCTCCCAGCCACATCTTCTCCAGGCAATATGCAAGCTTGTAAAAACTCCAACATACTATTCAGGCATTCACAGCTATTAATCATACAAACCTGTTATTCACATTATTTACAAATACACTTGCACAACTGTCTAGCATGGGCAGAATCACTGCAATATCCCTGAACCAGAGCTTAGAAAAAGTTGTTTCCAGTAACACAGTTATTTTTGGGTAATGAGCCATATAAGGATAATTTACACAGTTACCATATAGGAAATGCAACAGGTACCTTTCAGGTGTAATGAGCAAACATTTCTAATTAAAAGGTACAATTAAAGAGCATTTTTAGGTATTTAGACAGGAATTTTGCAGGTTTTGTGCCATTATTTCATCAATCCTAAATACAGTGGTGCCTTGATTTACAAACTTAATCTGTCCCAGAAGATGTTCATAAGTCAAAATGTTCATACAGTAAGTCAAATCAGCATTTCCCAGAGGAATGTATTGAAACCCGATTAATCCATTCCGGCTGTTTTTTTGTTTGTATGTAGAGGTGCCGTTTGTAAGTCATAGCATTAGTTCCCGTAGGAACTAATGCAAAACTGGTTAATCCATCCTCTACCACTGGGGGAGATTTTTTTTAACCTAAGATGACTTAGGTTTAAAAAAGGGGCAGGAAAGGAGGGAGGGAACAAACACATTTTAAACAGAACACCTTTAAAACCAAGAAGCTTTAAAATTACAGTACCAGGCAGTACCAGGCAGTCCAAAGTCCACTTCCCACTCCCCCCGTGTTTTTTGTTTGTAAGTCAAAGCTCCGTTCGTAAGTCAAAGCAAAATTTTGCAAACGGAGCTGTTCGTAAGTGAAAATGGTCATATGTCGAGGAGTTCGTAAGTCAAGGCATCAATGTGGTAAAGAAAGTAAAACTGATGAGGCCAGCCTCTCAAAATGGCTGCTATGTAGGAGCACATGGCTCATCACAATTTGTTTGACATGGGAGTTTGACTAACCAAAAAAAGATCTAACTGGCCCAGAAAGAGAACCACACAGCAAAAGTTTGGTTTTGTCCTCAAATGCTAAATAACACATTTAATTTGGTCCCAAACAGTAAAATGTGTGTGTGGGTGCACGCGCGCGCGAATACACACACATTTTATTGTTTGGGACCAAATTAAATGTGTCATTTAGCACTTGAGGATGAAATATGAGGACGCAATATTAATTACACAGAAGGAAATGTGGTCAACTGAGATGCTGAGAGAAATATGCAAACATGCTCATGCACCCATGCATACACCAATGGAGAGATAATATACAATGGATAATATATAATATACAGTACAACCAAATCTGAATAAACATATCCGGTCATTTCCTGCTGCTCTATTCAACCCCTTAAAATGATGCTCATCACTATATCTAGCCCCCCAGGTCACCCTGTCCCAGCATCCAACTTTGCAATTAAACTTCACAATTACTTTGTAATTGTAATTGTTGCATGCTCCTTTTAAAACTGTCAATCCAGCATACATTTATTTTCTCAAATAAATAAGGAAATAATATCTCTTTGTTGGTTGTTGTAGGTTTTTCGGGCTGTTTGGCTATGTTCTGAAGGTTGTTCTTCCTAACATTTCGCCAGTCTCTGTGGCCAGCATCTTCAGAGGACTGGAGTCGGAACTCTGTGCTCTGGTGCAGTTTTTGTGGGATAGTTCAGTATTTATAGCAGTGGGATCAGCTTTTGTCTTTTTCAGGAGATTAGGTGATTATAGTGATCAGTGTGTTTTTTGTTGTGGGTGTATTGTTGTGATAAGGGGAGAGATGATCCGTCACTGTGATTGATGGGTGTCATTAGCTGGCCTTTTGTGTGCAGTGATCATTGGTCCTTGTGCCTGGGTAGAGTTCGTTGACCTTTTGCAGGCTCTATTTTTCAGTGCTGGGAGCCAGGCTTTGTTGAGTTTTAGACTTTCTTTTTTGTTGAAGCTCTGCTGGTGTTCATGAATTTCAATGGCTTCTCTGTGCAATCTAACATAATGATTGCTGGTGTTGTCCAGTACTTCTTCTTTTTTTAAATTTTTTTTAATTACAGTGGGGTCTTGACCTGAGAACTTAATCCGTATTGGAAGGGGGTTCTCAAGTCAAAAAGTTCTCAGGTCAAATCTGCATTTCCCATAAGAATGCATTGAGAACCATTTGATCCGTATTTGCTCTTTTCCGTCCATAGAAACTAATGGGAAGCTGCTAGTCTGCTTTTTCAGGAGATTAGGTGATTATAGTGATCAGTGTGTTTTTTGTTGTGGGTGTATTGTTGTGATAAGGGGAGAGATGATCCGTCACTGTGATTGATGGGTGTCATTAGCTGGCCTTTTGTGTGCAGTGATCATTGGTCCTTGTGCCTGGGTAGAGTTCGTTGACCTTTTGCAGGCTCTATTTTTCAGTGCTGGGAGCCAGGCTTTGTTGAGTTTTAGACTTTCTTTTTTGTTGAAGCTCTGCTGGTGTTCATGAATTTCAATGGCTTCTCTGTGCAATCTAACATAATGATTGCTGGTGTTGTCCAGTACTTTTTCTTTTTTAAAATTTTTTTCATTAACTAAAACATAAACATAAACATAAAATACACAAATCAAAATACATTTCTTCTGGTTCTTTTAGTCTGCAGTGTCTCTCATATTCTTTGATTCTGCTATGTTTTGTGGTTCCAGTATATACCCGGCCAGAACTGCAAGGTACCCGGTATACTTGTGCAGTGGTGAGGTGGTCCCTTTTAGTCCTTTGCTGACTGTAACATTTGTTGTATTTTTGTGGTGGGCCTGAATACTGTTTGTAGGTTGTTTTTTTCCAAAAGCTTCCACACGTGGTCCGTGACCCCTTTGATGTATGGCAGAAATACCTTATTTGTGGGTGGTTGTTTTTCCTCTTCAGTTTGGTGTTGTTTTCTTGGTTTCAAGAATACAGTATCTCTTTGTCTTAGACAAGGTTATGTCAGCCAATTTGAACAAGCAGAATGTTATGATTACTTATGGTTGCATAGGTGCCAGTTTATCTCAATCCACAACCAAGCTCTGAATGCCCTAAAATGTACCTAGTGCATTACAGTAATTTTTAAAGGAGAGAGGTCTTTATTCCTAGGCTCAAAGGAATGATCACAGAAGACTCTTGTGGATTTTATGACAAAGGAATTAGTAAATAACATTAAAATTAATATTAAAGCCTTTAAATTTCTTACTTGGAACTTGCAGCCCTTTCATCTCATCTCAGATACTTTGAATGGTTATTTTGAAAGCTGTCCTATTGCAAAAATAAATTAAATATATTATAAGATCATTAATCTGAGAATAGGTGGCAGCATCATTGGATGCTATCATTATGATAAATGACAACAGCACAGTTGATCATCTTAGATGTAGTAAAAATTTGTCATTTTTTAAAGAAATTTCTCTATTACCACCACTACTCATGGTTTCAGAGAAACATCTCCGTATTGCTTGTAACTTAAATAAACAAAAATGGGACCAATGAACAATTGAGAAATTACTGGTAGGAGCTTACAGCCTGTCCAGCCAGGAGAATTTGGAGTGGTCTGGTTCATGGTTAATAGGTTATTATCTTCAGTGTGAACTATTTTATCTTTCACTTGGGCAATCCTTCTGTTCACACTGGAGAAAGGTCCCCACAGGCCTTTGGACTGCTGGTGTATTCATGAGCAGTTTTACCAGGTTTACTTATGAGTAAGGTTTACTTACATATAAGTTTACCCGGTTTGTTTGCAAGAAAGGAGGCAGCTCAAAGGGAAATTGTTGCTGAGAAGATTGGGGAGATGTAAAGGAGGAAAACCCTTCCCTTTTGCCACCTTTCTTCTTGGGTGGGGTCCTACTAGGGCTGTGCGCCTAGGGGTGGAGCCCATGGAGTCAACATGCCCCCTTCCCCACCTTTTCTTGCAACCATAATACAGCTGGCCACAATGGATTTCCTTTTTTGTTGTTAATTAAAGTATCAAAAGGACAGTACATCAACTTAGCATGGTATTAGAATTGTGTTGTATCAGTTAGAGAAATATTTTAAAAAGAGATTAAAACAAAGGAGGGACTTTCCTTCACCCTCCATTTTAATGTCACAACCTATCTATTATGTCAGATACTGCCACCCAGTTTCATTTTAGTGTGAGATAACTGCACTGGCTACACAATAATAAGGATCATGCGGAATTGTACCAAAAAGAATACATGCCCTAGCACTGTGCCAAAAAGGAGTGCAGCAGCTCTCAAAGAAAGGTGTGCAACAGCTCTCAAAGAAGATCAATCAATCTAATTAGAAACATGTGTGGGTACTATAATTTGGTTTGAACCAAACCATACGACAGTGATCCACATACCAATCCATATCCCTGTCTGGACAGGCTCTGACATGGCTACATCTCTGAAAATGTCTCTAAATTTTATCCTCCCCAGGAATTAAATTAGATTACAAAATGGGGAAGAATGTCAAGTCCGATATCAAAAAAAGTCTCTCTTTCAAAAGGTGGAATTTGGCAGATCCGAAGTCCTTGGTGCTGCTGTAGAAAACAGAGCAATCCCTAATTAGAGTGCACATTTTCTATTTTTCATCATAGCTGTATAATAATGGTGGAATAAGTGATATTGAACAGAAGAAGGCTTGTATCACCTGAGAATCTGATACTATGTATTTATTCAGAACTTCCCTTTACTAGAAGATGTCTGAATATAGGGTGTTGACATTAAACATTTTAAAAAAAAGATACTTGAGCATTCATGTTACCAGAAACCATATTTTACAATGTTTAGGGTAAATTCAATTTTAGCTGCCTCATGTCCATAGAGCTGGAGAGAAGATTGGCTTGCAAATAAATATATATATTTACAGATTTGTCAAAATAGGCAGCCACAGATATATAGCAACATTTCTACACACATAGTGCTTAAATATTTATCTTTGGTCCTAAAGGCCTGGAGGGGAAGGGAGCAATAAGACCTTGTCCTTCCAGGTCTACATGTTCCTAGAACAATTTCAAAGTTGATTCTCCCAACTTTCCCCCCTTTTCCTCTTCTTCTGTTGCCTTCCCCACAAGTTTTAAGGGCAGATGGAATGAGATGGGGGACGACCAGCAAAGAAAGCCAGGGCTAGTCGTTCCAACGTTAGTAGCCCAGTTCAGCTGCGGCCATTTTATATATGGAAGGGGGGGCGTCAGAGCAACAGACGGGGTGGGGGCAAAGGTGTTGCTTTCCGTCGGCAAACTGGCGACACCTTCTTTCTAAACGTGTGAAGGGCTGGCCTTATTTAGGGAAGGAGGGGAATCCCCCCCCCAAAAAGTGGGGGTGGGTGGGTGGAAGAAAGGGGCTGGTAGACGTGAACTGTCTTCAGCCGGGCAGGCGGTCCGAGAAGAGCGGCGAAAAGGGAAAGCGTTGTCCGCAGTGACCGGCGCCCGCCACCGCGGCGGAGAAGGGGGAGGTGGAAGCCGCCGCCAGCGGAATCTCCCGGCTCGGTCGGGTTCATTCTTCCTCACCAACCCCGCCTCTGGGTGGCAAGCGGCGTAGCGGCCAGGGAAAGGAAACCGGGCAGGCAACCAGCGTGACTAGCCGGGCCTCCTCCTCCTCTTGTCTCCCTCTTACGAAGCGCTGGGGGAGTGCTTGGTGACGCCGGACACAATAAGGGAAGGCGGGTGAGGGGAGCGAAGGCAGCGCGGCTTTTCCTCCGTCTCTCTCTCTCTCCCCCCCCGTGCTCTCCAGGCCTTGGCGGGCGACTGGGAGTCTGGTTTCCGAGGGTTGTTGGAGCATTTTCTCTCTCTCTGCCCTCTCCCCACCTCTACCCGGGCTCCGGTCCTAGTCAGTGTTAAGTCAGCTTCTGACACGGTAGGTGAGGCAAGGCGGCAGAAGGCGCAGGCCGTAAGGGAAGGCCTAGTCCTGAGGAGCCGGCCTCTGGGCCGACAACGCCGCCTCAGCGCGATGGTGTGAGGAGGGAGCCGCGTCGGAGTGAAAGATGGCCGGTGGCGGCGGCGGCGGCGGCGGTGGCGGCGGGGGAGCCATCGGCAGGAGCGTCGGGGGCTTGAGACAGAGCGACTTTCTCGACGGTGAGTGTGCCGCCTCGGAGGAGCTCTTCGGTTGCAACCCGTAGTCGCGCTTTCCTTGAGAGCAAGCCCTGTTGAACGGCTGGAGGGGGGGGGGCTTATTTCCTCGTAAACGTGGATAGTATTGCACATATCCCGGAGGGGGTATGGGGGAAGAGTCCCCACGGTTTAATTTCTGGACCTACTGTAAATGCAGAGTGAAGGCCGTGGGTAGTTTAAATCTGTGGGTTTTATTTGAGGGGGTGGGGAGAAAGGTACAGTATGTGGATATGGGGGATATAACACAGGGGGTTTAAAAGAGCCTGGGGACAGTCAGTTTAGGTAGAAGTGGGATACAAGACTTGTGGTGGCTGTGCCTTGTGGGCAGGTTTCTGTGGGCAGTGGTCTGTCTTCCATCCCTTTCCCTCCCCCAACCCTATCACACTTTTAATTTCCATGCTTTTTAAGGAAAAAGTGAAATGCCATCTTGAAGATGGTGGGATGAAAGAACAAACATTTGGTAAGAAATCCTAACGTAAGAATGTGGCCAAACTAGGATTTATGCATCCACTGTTACTCAGAAGTACTGCACCTGGAAAGAAAAGGAAGGGGCTGCTCCCAGGATAGTCCTACAGAAGTAAACTGTACTGTGTTAGTAAGGTTCACTCTCAGGAAAGTGTGTACAGGATTGCAAATTCAGTCCTTTTGTGTAGAGGGAAGCTTTGCAGCGCTGTATGTAAAAAGATAAAAAGTTCATTGTTTAATACTAGTGTAATTAATTTTTTAGGTAATTCTATTTTTTTTTCCAGGGCAGAGAACCTAAAGAAATATGCAGGCATTTCCATGACAGCATCTGGCATCTCTCTGTAATAATCTTGAAACATACTTGCTTCTAATCTCCTCAAAAAGAGTTTAAAAGCTTTATTTAGTTATTTATTTAATTTCTTATAGCATGCATTTATAGTACAGATTTATCTCTCTAGTTACTGATAATTATTTTAGTCATATTATTTTTACTGATTCATTCCATGAAATCAGGTAATTAGATTTCGGTCTGATGGCTCAGGTTGTAAAATGAACAATCTGAGAGCAGGTTAGAACGTTACATGTTCTCCGCACAGAGGTTTCTGCAGGAAGATGGTGATTTGTCTTAAACTGCAAACAGCAAAATTGATGGCTCTTTCCCCCCTATCGTGGGTGTATAAATTAGGTAGTAGGTATATCTTGATAACATTCACAGTATGCCAGTTCTTTTTTATAAATGGGTCTTGTACCTGAAAAATAACATGTGAAGGATCCCTAAAATAAGTACTTGGGACAGTGTAGCAGTGCAGTGTCAGAAAATGACACTGCATTATTGAAGCAAGCTGAAAGAAAAAGATTTAAACTGGGCTCACAGTGCAACCACCCACATTGCTGGCTATTCCATATGAGAAGCTATTTTAGTGAATTGATTCACTCTGCTGGTTGTGGTTGTTTTCACCACATTGTAACCTGCATTCTTTCTAGAAGAGACTTATGACAATGAGAGGAAGTTGCAATGCATTAGTAATTTGTCATATTTCACAGTGTAAGTCAGATATATGAATAAAATGCATGTTCAGAGAACAGCAAGCAAAGTATAACACTGTTGCAAAAATCATTTTCAGGAGCTGCTTTGTTTTTGGGCAAAGGGTTTCATTTGAATATCAGGCTAAACCGCTGGTTCTTAACCTTGGGTTACTCAGGAGTTTTGGACTGCAACTCCCAGAAGCCTTCACCACCAACTGTGCTGGCTGGGGTTTCTGGGAGTTGCAGTTCAAAAACATCCGAGTAACAAAGGTTAAGAACCACTGGGCTAAACTATCATTTAATGGGCCATATATGAGCCTAGCTTCCTGCATTCTTTTTCTGCACAACCATAGAGAGTTCAGAAGTTTCTGTTTTCACTTTGGATTAATCCAAAGCTTTCTGTCATATGCATTTGGCCAGTTAAGCTAATGCAGGAAACATACTGTACTTGGTTTCAAACAAGCCAGTTTCAGATCTAATGTATGCAACTAGCTTTTAAAACCTAGCCATAGTTAACCTTAACTTATATTCCATGTTTGTATGGTATGTCAGGCAGAAGTGAAAGATTTAAAACTCAGCCTTGTGTCTATGCAAATAGAGGAAGAAGATACGAGCCAGAGAGGTGGGACAATTCAGGGATATTCCTCATGCTTAACGACGTGAGGTGTTAGCTGTGGCCTTCTAGATGTTTTGGCTTGCAGCTCCCAGAACAGTCTAAGGTGAACTGTCAAACTATCTGTGGAGGACTGCAGTTGCCCACCCCTGTGCTAAAGCATAGCTTAGTGTCAGAATGCAAACACTGAGAAACATGTTTGTCACAATAAGTTCTGGTAATGCTGTTTCCATGTCTATAATTTGTATCAGATACCACAACATTTAATCTGTCAAGGTTGAACCTTTGTCTTTTGCATCTTCTTATAGGCATAGCAGCTTCTACTTCATCTAGTGGCATGATGAGTTCATTTGTGGCAGCTCACAAAGACCTAATCTATATTGTTATTTCAGGAAACTTAAGGGGCAGGCGGATCTTCTGTTTTAGGAGGCCTAATACAGAATGGAGGCAAGGAGTCTGTAATTTCCGTCTTAGTGAAATATTCCCACATTAAAATTTTAAGTGGCGGCATGTAGAATTTGGACGAAATATCTTCTGTTGATAAACTGTGGTTTATAAGGTTGAAAATAATTATTCTCCCTTTGTTGCATGCCTTAATTCAATACTTTTGAGTGTTAAAATCATACTGTTCCATTATATCTGAACTTAGGACCATGGTTTATCTTTTGGCACTTCAGTTTTGGAGAGGATATGGTAGAGCTGGAAGGAAAAGTGCAGCCAAAATGATCTAGGGCCTGCAGGAATTCCCCTGTGATTGGAAAGGTACAACACTCATGGCTTCTTACTTGAAGGGGAAAAAGCAGTTAAAAGGGGCATGATGGAGGTGTGTAAACCTATGCATAGTACAGTATAGAGAAACCAGATAGGGAAAAATTATCTCTGTCTTGTAATTCTAGAACCTGGAGTCATCCAATGGGGCTTACTCATGAGAGATTCAGAATAGGTGCAAGGAATTTTCAGAGATATGTCCATGTTAGTATATTCAAACAAAAATGAAAAGAAAAAACAACAACAAACCGGAAGCATTGTAGCAGCTCTAAAGTGAGAAGATTTATTTCAGTATGAACTTTTGTGAATTACAACCTATTTTTTCACCACCTCTGGAATGAAGTGGATAGTAATCCATGGTAGTTCACACTGAAATACATTTGTCAGTCTTAAAGGTGACACAGTACTCCCCGCTTCTTATGTTTGTTTGTACAGAAACACTGAAAAAATGTTCAAAGAAGACTTGTTTAAATTTGCTACTGCAGGATGTAGTGATGGCCAGCTACATAAGACAGTTTTTAAAAGATTAGACAAATTTATGGAAGACAAGGTAGCTGATGGCTGCTGATCACATTGGCTGTATATTAATTACCTTTAATATAAGGGGTAGTATGCTTCTTTATACTTGGTTACTGAGGAACACAAGTGGGAGACCTGGCATCTCCTCTCTTGTTGGTGGTCTTTCTAGAAACATCTGCTTGAGACCTGTGGGAATAGAGTGCTGGACTAAATAGACCTTTGATATGATGGAGTACAGCTGGACTTCATGATTTGTGTATTTATTTGCTTTTACAGGTATAGCATGTGTTGCGTTTTTGTTCTTCACTTGCGCACAGTGGTTTGCAATGATTAGAGGGGGGTTTATTAAATCAGATTGGTTAGGTCTAAGCCAGACTAATAAGCGGGATGCTGAAAGGCAAGAAAGGTAGAAGTTCTATATACCAGCTATTCTCAGACTATGGTGGGAAAACAGCAGCTGCAGAGGTGCACTTTTCAATGTATGGTACTAAACAGAAAAGCTTAAAAGGATTAAATGTAATTACTGGACAATTAGGCTTATGTTTGGAATAAAAAATAGTGTTGTGACAGTCCTCTATATGCTCTGTTTATTTTATTTTATTTTAAATTAAATGAAGTAAAATATGGATTTTTTGTACATTTATTGGAGGGGATTAAAAAATCAAAGCTGCATAAAAAGAATTACACTAAATAATAAAACAAGTCTGGCTGCAGAATGCCTTGGTCCCTGTCTTTGCTTCTGGGAGCTGCTGTTCTATACTGCAAGAAGGGGTCTCATAATATTAATAATCCTGTTAATCCTGTTAGTGAAATGTTGAAGTTAAATTGCTGTGTACCTTCTAGCAGATTACATGGGCCACCTTTTAGCTAAAAGTCCATTCTAAATGTTGAGTTGTTTCATTGTAGGATACCAATGACCAGCAACTTGTACAATTTTTCAGGCTATGAATATTTCCTTAGGTATATCACAGTGATCAGTTTATGATAACTTAGTAATAATTTTATGAACAAATACTGGTTGTCAGTATGGTGCAGGTTTCATATAAGTGTTCTTGTCAGTGGTGATTAAGCTATCAAGGTCTACATATGCCAATCTTGTGATACTGTACTGTTCCCAATTAACGTTTTTAACAAAAACAAGAGGACTTGAGGGTCTTTTAAAAAACTATGAAATAAGGGAATGACTTATTGATTGGATGACTCTTATTTTTTTCTGTAGCTAATACTTGACTTTTATCTTGCTAAGGAATAACTACTGTTCATTGAAGCTTGCATGCTGTGATATCTTCTGCTGGTCTCTAAAGCTGAGTACCATAAAACAGAGGAGGAACAAGATCCAGCACATGGGCTTGATCCAGCCAACAGAGAGTGAGGATCCACTGCTCTGGAAGTGCATTGTTAATCTTTCTCTGGAGTTCCTGCTCCAGCCAGGCTCTCCCAAATAGTATCAGGGATATACTAAATGGGTGGGCAGTGTCAAAGGACTGGGTGCCGTTTTCCCCTACCCTGGACCATGGAAGGCCACTCTCCCCTTGCCACCCAAAATATTCCCAAATGCAAATCATGCCTCCAG